TTCCTGGATGGAAGAGGAGATCGCTATGCCTAGAAAATAGTCTCAAGAATCTGTACATCAGATGAAGAAACACATACTTCAGCCAACTTATAATTCAGAGAAAGTCTCTATTTCTCCATGTTTTAAATGTCTTTTCCAAGGCTTATTTAGGTATAATTGATATACAATAATTAACAGCACTAGCCAGATGTGGTGATTTATGTCAGTAATCCCAGGACTTGGGAGGCTGAGGCAGGAGGATCACCACAAGTTCAAGGCCAGGATGGACTACACAGAGTTCAAGACCAGCCTGAACTTCATAGCAAAACCCTGTCTCAAAAAGTCAAAAATTAAATTAATAACATTGAGGGGCAGGGGAGATAGCTCAGTAGAATAAGTGCTTGCCTGGCAAGCACAGTGGCCTGAGTTCAATCCCCGAATCCGAAAAAAAATTGAATACTTTGTTCAAAATTCCAAATTCACAATGTATATATTTCCTTTCTCCTATACTATCAAATGTTGTTTGTTTGGTTTTTTTGCGGAACCGGGGATTGAACTCAGGCCCTTGCGCTTGCCAGGGAAGCACTTATTCCACTGAGCCATCTCCCCGGCCCTATACTATCAAATGTCATGCTAATTTTTGCTTTGCTTAATTGTTTCTTGGTGAATCTGTTGTGAGTTGAGTGGGTGAATAAAGATATTCTGGATAAAGATAAGCCAGAGGCCTACCGCCAAGTACCTCAGAAGGTGACCTTCTATGGAAATAGGGTCTTCACAGAGGTAACCAAGTGAAACTGGGGTCATAAGATGGGCCCTACCCCAATAGGTCTGGTGCCCTTAAAAACCAAGGTGATTAGGAGCTAGATGCACAGAGGGAAGAGAACATAAAGGCACACAAGAAGCCGGCCACCTACAGCCCAGGACAGTGGCTTGGGACAGCCTCCCTCACAGTTCCTGAAAGAAAGCAGCTCTTCAGACACACTGACTCAGACTTTTGGCCTCCTGAATTGTAAGACACTAAATTTCCCTCATCTAAGCCTCTCTGTGTTAGGTGCTTTGCTATTGCAAAGCCCGGCCAACCATTACAGAGCCCACAGGACTTTTTAGCTTGAAGTCTTCCCAAGCCATCTCTGTCCCCACCCAGATGAGAATTTTGCCAGGAATTAATGTCACATTTATTAGGCTGCAATTTCTACAATCTGTCTCTTCCCCTTTCTAAAAGTGAGATGTGAATTTTTCCCATCCTTGAAGCTGTTTTGCAGACAGTTTCTCAAAAGGAACAGGCAGTAACAATTACACCTAATACTTCCACAGTGTCTACTCCATGTCAACTGCTTCCGCAGATGATCCTAAAGATTTATAACAGTCATCAGAAGAGCAGGCAATACCCCTGTCACCAACCACTGACACACAGCATCCACTGTAAATGGGAAAACTAACACAGCATGACCACTTTATGGGGGAGAACTGAGGCACTAAGGGATAGTAAACCTGCTGATCCCTGGTCACCCTCCCCCTCACTTTCCACCACATTTTCTTGTTGCTAAGGGCCATTTCACCATGGCTGTGGTTCTAGGGCCACATCTGCAGGTTTTTCTTGGGTCCCCAAGATGCTCCTCTGGATCTAAATAGTCAAAACTCTTTGATTGGCTCTCCTAACTCCTACTCCTAATTTCTTAATAATGTTTGTGGATTATTACTAGTAGCTCTATTTCTCCTTAGTTCAAAGGATGAAAGCCAAGTAGGAATCAAATAATTACTTTTTCTTCATGATCATTTACTTGTTTGTTATCATAGTGTCTCTCCCCAAACCATGGCTCATCTCCCATTAGCATATAAAGGCTTTGAAAACTCCTCTTTCTTCAAGCTTTTTCATAAGCCATTGCCCTCTGTACCTGATAACTTCCCTGATCCAACTCTGTTTGTGCCCTTTCATGAACTCACAGCCATCCATCACTAAAACTGTATGTTGAAATCATCTGGGCTCAGAACTCTTTGATTTTAACAAACATTCTCCCTCTCCCCTCTCTGTAATAATCACCACTTTTTTCACTAGAACTTTATTTTTCATAGTTTCCTCATTTCAGCCACCTTTCATTCTATTCCTTTTGCTGTAACTTGGCTTGGTCCCCAGTTTGGCCCTACTGGGAGAGTGAAATCTTCAACAAGTAGGGGTGAGTGCAGGTCTTTTTTTTGTTTGTTTGTTTTGCGGAACCAGGGATTGAACTCAGGCCCTTGCACTTGCCAGGGAAGTACTTATTCTACGAGCCATCTCCCCGGCCCCAGTGCAAGTCTTGGACCACTGGAGATGAGCCCTTCCAGGGAACTGTGGGACCCTGCGCTGTTCCTTTTTCACTCTCCTCCTGGCCATGAAATGGCTTTGCTCTGCTACACACTCCTGCCATGATGCACGGGCCTGCCACAGGCCAAAGGCAATGGCCCCACCCAAGCATGGACTGACCCCTCAAAACTGGGAGCCAAAATAAACCTTTTCTCTATAAAAGTTGATTTATTGCAGGCATTTAATTTCAGTAATGGAAAGCCAACACACCTTCTTTTGTTTACTCATTAAAGGCCAATTTTACCACAAGCAAACTGGAAGCCAAGGAATGTACTAGGAGGAGTGCAATGTTATGTGGCTCCTATCCACAGAGAGCTCTCAAAGCCTAGGACTGCATGAGCAAACACAGCCCTGCCCTCCTCTCCTACACCGCTGATAAATTTTCCTAAAGCCTGGGTGTGGTGTGACCCACAGTTCTTGCCTTCACTCTAGGGGATTTCAGGTAAGAGATCACTTGTTCCACACAGCCCCTACTTCCTCGCCACCCCATTCTTCTTTTCCCAATTCAGACCAAAGCAGTATGAAAGCAGGCAGACTATGAAAAAAGCAAAGCCAGAAATCCAGTGGACTTCTTTGCTCACACTTTCAGCAGATAGTGCCAAAGTGCTGGCAGGCTGGGAAGCCTCCAGACAAGGGCCACAGAGGCACCGCTGCCATGGAGCATATTTCATGCCCCCTTCTTCTCTTCCTCATTCAAAAGCTCGCTGCCATCTCTCACCCTCACGTCTCTCCTTCCCATACACAGATCCCCTCACTAGACATGCTTCTTTTCAGAACACAAATCCTCCCTCTGCCACCATCTAAGTCCTGACTTGTGCCTGTCCCACAGCCATGACATCCTTCTGCCCTTCCTCGCTTTCTTTGGTGTCACAGGTTGGTAGAGACAGGCGATCCTAGGTATTCCATGAGTCTCTTCAAAGCACTACTTAATTCCCCTCCCTTCAGGTACCTCCTTTATGTGACCACCTGTTTTTTACCTGCTACAAAATTATTTTTTAAATCCTGAGAGGCAAGTTCTCCTCACCTACCAGGATACATCAGACAGAAGGCTGCTGTACCCCATTCAGAATAAAGATATTTTTAAAGCCAACCAACACACACTTACTCAGTGTCTGTTACAAACTCACCATATAGAAAGGAAAAAAACAATATGCTTTCTTTTCAACGTCTGCCAGCCTGCCCTTACACAGGACGCCACTCAGGCAGCAGCCCCAGTGACAGAGCATTTGTGTCTACAGACGCTACTCAGCCCTCCAGGAGCTCAGAACACAAGAGACACACAAACAAACCCGCCTCCCGACTCCCGGCCCACCCAGCTGACATTACATAACCAGTTCTCAAAAAAAAGGCCACAGAGGCAACCCCTCTACACAGGATTTTCCTTCTTTAGCAGCCTCAGAGGAAGAGATGTGCTAATATGGTGCTTCTATTCCCAGCAGGAATAACCCTTAATTATTATGTGCCTGAAGCATCTCAAAAGTTTTAAATAGAATTTCACGTAACATTAAGAAAATTGGGAACTACGTCATTGGTAACAGAAAAGATGTTACACAAAAAAAGAGTGAAAGAGTGGGAAGAGGTGGAGGGGGCACAGATTCTTTTGAGTTGCTTAGGAAGTTCTGGAAATGGAGAAGAAAAGGCATGTGATTACCAAAATGCAAAATCCCATGAGAAAATAAAATTCTTCTGTGGAAGAAATACAGACCTTTCATTCATCACAGATTGAGTCACAGATCCCTGATTAAGTTTCAGAAAAGAAAGTGATTAGACCTATTATCAAGGGATCCATATATTGGATATGCAAGTGAATGTATATATGATCTTTTGTCAAAATCACAGGATTTGCTCCTACAAGTCTGGAAGTAGAGTTGCAACAAGGTGATTTAATCAACACCTTTCATGGGTGGCATCCTTCTCTTCCTCCTTGGAGAAGTCATCTAGCTGTCCATTTCAGTATTTCCCTAAGCAGAAGGCGTGCTGGGAAGTGGTCCAAGCACAGCCGGCTCCAGCTGGGACTGTCACACGGATCCTTGTGGTGAGGAGGGTCTAATACCTCTCACTGAGTGCCTGCCATGGTTGGAGATGTGAGAATAAAGCTGGCTGAGTTGCTCAAGTGGCCAACAGGGCTCACTGTGTCATGACTAAGCCAGTAGAGGGGTCTGCTCCACCAAAGAGTGTTTTCTAAGCATTGTATGCAGCATACAATGACAGGACCAGCCCCTATGGGAAAGGCTTATTTATAAAAACAAACCATAGAGAGTTATTCCGTGGGGGTTTCTATGGCCAGCAACTATTTATGTATCTTACCCAACTTCTACTGACTAAATGAAGATGGTAGACTCCACATTGTTCTTACCAGAATGGGACAAGAACATTCATGATATGAACAAAGAGGGCATTTGATTAAGACAGGGTAGGTCATACCTGTTGTGTCATAAAGAATTTGATTGGCCTTGCTCCATAGTTCCTGGAAACTATGGAATACTTGGAATTCTAAATACTTGGAATTTCCCGAGTAACTGGAGTTTCTCTGTTATTCATAAGCCCCTGGACACATCTGAATATCTGCTTTCAAAAAGAAAGCTATGACGGCAGGCAGCATCTTGGACTGTGGCGGGCCATCTGAGGTGCATGCAGCCTTACTGCAGGCTGCAGCCCTAACTCATGAGGCAACGCTCACTCCAGGTGGTTAACGTCAGCATCACACTGTGACATTGCGACACCCACTCTCAACACCTTAAACGCTTGCCAGGAACAGTCCCTTTCAGGGACTCTGGAAACAGACCCGACCTTCCCTACTCCGCCCGACCCCTTCCACCCCCAAACTGAGAACCAACATGGTCCAATAAGCAGAAAATCACTTCGAGTGGATACACAGACACAACTATAGTACAAGACAAGACTATTTTTTTTTCGGAACCAGGGATTGAACTCAGGTCCTTTCATTTGCTGGGCAAGTGCTTATTCCACTGAGCTATCTCCCCAGCCCCATGGCAAGACTTTTTGAGGAGGTATGTAATGTGTTCTAGGTAAAAACTACAATGAATGCACAAAGAGTCAAACAGAAGACAAGAGATTTCAGAACCTTTTCACAAAGGCATTCAGAGACTTAAGAGTTCAAAGTAATGTTTAGGCAGCAAGACATGAAAAATGGATGACAAATGGTGAAATAAGTGCATTTAACAAATGATGAAACTCATGTCCAACTTTTATTAAATATTCTGTACCTGAAACTGCTCAGCTTATTTCACTATTCAAATGAATCCTTAATCCTATGAGGTCAAATCTATTCTTACACCCATTCTACAGGCAAGGATACTGATGCTTAACAAATGTCATGAAGGCTAGTAGCCCACTGTGGCAGCTCAGGAGAAAGGTAAATAGAAGTGGGTAGAGAAACCTGTGGAAGGTTCCAGATGTTTGTAGAAACCCAACTTGGTTTCTTTATCTGCAGGCTACAGGCAGCTATCAAATAGGAACCAAATCATGTTCTGAAAGAGAATGATGATGGCCATCTGTGAAGAAGAGAAAGACTGATCAGGGGACAGTGGTAAGGTCCCTGGCCACAGAGAAGAGAACCTGGGCTGGGGAAAGGGCAGGGGAATGGATACATGGGTTTGGTACCATGGGGAGGGAGGTGAGGAAGACGACAGAGAGGACATCAGCACAAGTGTGCAAAGGGCACGCCCTCCTGGGTGACACATGTGCCAGCTGTGACTACTCTGTGCAAACTCACGGAGTTCATGCTGTTGATCCACTCATGGACAATGAAATGCTATTTAAAGACCATATTCGATACTGTGGGCAGTTGACGCGCTTCCCCCAGTCCCAGGTCTGCAGCCCCGGGCCGAGCACAGCCGTCTTACTCCTCCAAGCTCTCCGGCTTGGCTTTGCACTTGCTTTCGATGCGTAATGAATGTCAGGGGAGCCCATCAAAGATTTTTGTCTAAATGGCTTTGTAAACCTCTGCGCTGAGGTAAAAGTAGAGCAGACCACCAGTCCAGCTATTGATCAGTTCGATTCAGGAATGCACATCGAAAGAGCTGTCTGCTAGCTCCTCCCAGCAGCCAGTGGGAAAGATCCCACAGAGGAAGCAGCAGGGTAAACAGAAGCTAACCGCGAGCCACTCCCTCCTGGACCCCACTAGGAAAATGCAGCTCTTGCTCTACATAAAATGAATGCTGAGTTTCTCTGTGCGGTCAATAACAGCCATTCAAACCTGATTCTTTAAGAAGTGGCCTTTTTCATGGCTGTGTAGGCCCCATCTAGGTACTGCGAGAGAGGCCTGAGGAACTGTGTGCTTCATTAGCAGGACTTTGCTCAGGTCCAACAGCAACGTGAGCACAGAAGAATCAATAGCAACCCCTGTCTCTGAAAAGTGCTGGTTACTCCCCCTTATAAATAGCCTCCAAATGTTAAAAGCTGCCCTAGGGCTGCCCAGTACACTTACACTATAAAGCAGAAACAGAAAGGAAGAGAAAAGAAATTCAGCTCCTACTGCCTCCAAAGACCCTGAAATGCTCCCCGCTCTACAGCACAGGGTGTCTGCCATGGCTGCATCTCTCCCAATGCACATTCCCAGAATCTGTGCTCAAACGCTCATCTGAAAACGTTTAAAGAAGATCTACCGAAATGTACTCTTACACCGGTCCTTGACACATAATCAATACACCTTTAAGTGCACACATCTATATCTTGCATTAACCTTGCCTTTCGCTGTGATTCAGGGGATATCGGCTCAGCTTCATCAAGAAATCTTTCCTAATCTGACATCATTCCACAATAAATGTGTCATCATAAACAGGCAGAAACTGTGTATCAGAGACGTTTTCTGGAAACATGTTCAAATGAGCCAGAGCTCAACGCACAATTTGTAAATACGGTTCTCTACCATGACTCCAGGGTATTAAAATGCCTTTGGTATTGTCAATGGTTATGGCAACTGAGACCCAGAGTGTTTAGCATGTGTACCAGAACATTCTCATTCAGATCAAAGTGTATCCCTTCTTTCTCAGTCACCCAATTATGACAGAACAGAAGTCATCTGTCCCAATGAAATACAATACCAAGGAGCAAAGGTCTCAATTTTTCTGGGAGGTACGCAACTTAAAAGTCAGGCTCACTGGATATAGTGGTGCATGCCTGTAATTGTAGCACTCAGAAAGCTGAAGCAGGAGGATTACTGTAAGTTCAAGACCAGCCTGAATTACATAACCAAGACACTGTCTTGAAAAATGAAAAAACAGTCAGGTAAAACACCTAATGAATGCTAACTGGAATCTACATGCTACAATATACTCCCATAGAAACTATCACTTTTAACAAGGTGACATTTTCTTGTATCTTTAGGGAGAAATAGAAGACAGTTTTCAATTATTATTATAAATAAGGGATTGGTCTTACACTTGGGTGTCTAACAGGTATCATCTGACATATGAAGACTCACAATTGTTTATCCCATTTAACCTCTATAATATATTTATTTGAGTGAAGATTTCCCCAATTTTATAAAACATAATGAAATCGGAAAGAAAACACTAGCAAGGGAAGGCTTTCAGAAAGATACTGTATTTTGAAACTGAGCCTCTAAGTGCTAACAGTAAATTCTGATTTTGTTCTGGGTTAGAATTCCTAAGTCCATGCCATTGATAGGGATATTTTATCCCTGGGTCCCCTGCCTTTTGAAACCCAGTTACCAGACCCCTGCGTAGGCTCCTCAAAGCCCATCTGCACAGGGTTTTCCCAGCCCACCCAAGTGTCAGGAACTCGCCTGGCCTTGCCTGAACTGTGGATAAATGCAGAGACCACACTCTGAGACACTGGCATCGCCCGAAAGTATAGAATTGGTTAATGCTAACTGAGCACTTCCTAAGTGCCAGGGTCTAGGGACAAGTGGGGAGCATTCCTATGCCTCTGAGGGGACACAGATTGGGAGGCATCAGTTTCCCTCACACTTGGCCACTGGCTGGAGCAGGGCTGGTGCAGACAGAAGTGTGGGAAAGCAAGGAGGCCAGAGCATCTCGTGGCTCTGTGCTTGAGACGAATCCCAAATGCGTTCTGCTCTGCAAAGGCTCTACAATTAACGAACCAAAACAGGCAACATGGCTCATCCTGTAATCCCAGCTACTCAGGAAGTTGAGGCAAGAGGATCTTGAGCAAGGGCCTGAGTTCAATCCCTGGTTCTGCTAAAAAAAAAAAAAAAACCTAGTGTTTCTCAAATTTGAACAAAAACTATTGTCTGTATTATGATCCAGGCCATACTTACACCCATAATACTGGGGGAAACCATTTTCCACCAAAAACGCTATCTGACTATTGGAATGCACTTTGATATTTATTTCCTCTTGCTATTTTTCCTTCTTTCTTTAAATTCTGGTCACAACCCTCTATTAGGTAGCAATCCAGTGTGAAAAACTTTAGTATAAACCTTTCAGTTTAAGCTGGTCATGGTGGTGCATGCCTGTAATCCTAGCACTCTGGGAGGCTAAGGAGGGAGGATTGCAAATTTGAGCCAAGCCTGAGCAATTTATCGATTCACCCCTCAGAAAATACTCCAGAACTAGCGTACCACTGCAGACTGAAGGTCTCCCACACACCAGGCCCTGCACTGGCCCCTTTCCATGTGTGGCCTTACTGATTTTCACACAGCTATATAGGTCTAGCATTAATATGCCCATTTTACAGACAAAGAAACTGAAACTTAGCAATTCAGAGACAGGCTCAGCACAACAGGATGAAGCCAGGATTCAAGCCAGCTCCAACAAGTTCCACCTCTCTAATAACAACACACCACAATGAGTGCAAGTTTCTTCGGTAACCAGAGCTAACCAAACAGGAGGAATTTCCTAAGTTCCCTGGAGATAATTTGAGTCCTGGGAAGGTTATAGAACCAAATGTGGGATGCTCAGACATATCAGAGGGCTAGATGCAGGACAGACTCTTGGGTTTGCATTTCGTTGTTTCCTTCCTTGTCCTCCAATGACCTCAGCTAGGACAAACGAGGAAGGACCAACAGAGAAATGGTAAGTGAGAGCCAGCAGAGCAGTGGCCTAGATAATCACCTTCCAGACAGCTGGCTGAAGTGCACTGTGGTACTGACCACGCTGAGGGCTCCTAATGACAAAGCCCAGCATCCTCAGGACTATGGATGGACCATAAATATTCAGGAGACGGCGCGAACGCAGCCGGAGGGAGAGTAACAGCAATACTCAGCACCTGCTGCTTCGTTTTTCAGAAGTCTTCCAAAATCATGTTAAGTGAGTCTCTTGGGCGATGGGGAATCTTAATCAGAAGGATAACTAAACATCCTTAGACATTTGTCTTCTTTTAGGCCTATCATTAAAGATGCATTTGACAGAAATTCAAGAGATATAAAATGGATACAGGTCCAGACAAATACTCAGCCCAAAACATATCTGCAGAAGAGATGATGTGGGAAAATTATGGGCAAGGTCCTATTAAACTATTGCTCATGACCCCGTGCCTCGCCTGATCCAAGATAATCGGATATGCTGTGACAGCCTATAACCAGCCAGCCATTGGCACAGCTATAAATGGTAATCTCCTGGAAAATGTTTGAGAAATGATTTTTTTCACACATACAAAGTAAATGCAAATTTTGACTGCTACATATAACAAATTAGACAATTTAACAAATAATCCAATGGTTTATATTTTTTGTGTGGCGTATCACACAGCAAAAGGATTATCGTTTA